GAAGGAAAGAATAAGAAAAAATAACGCATTATTGTCCCCCTCCCCTCTCTCTCTCTCTCTCTTGTGCTTTCTTTACTGAGTGTTATTGCTGGTTGTACATACTCGCTTCCCTTTTGCTCTGTTTTTTTTTTTGCGCGCGTGTATGTCTTTTTTTTGTTTGGTTGCGTCTCTTACTGTGGCATCTTTTTTTCTTTTCTTTTCTTCTGTCGTCCTTGCTGTTTAGTGTTGCTGTTGGGAGTTTGCTCCTCGTGTTGTTGCCTCTGATGCGCCTCTTCGTTTTCCCTCATTTTTTTCTTTGATATAACGGTGGGAGGAAGGCGCGGGAGGCCCTGCTCCAACGGTGTCCGTGCTGCTTGTGCGATGCGGGCCCTTGGCCCCGTGCACTCACTTCGATGCTTCGCTCTGATGAAGTATATTATGTATGTACACACAAGCTTCTCTCTCTCTCTCCCTCCCTCCCCTTGTGTGTGTGTGTGCGGTATGTCCTCACACTTCATGTATGGTTTCCATTGCGCTGCTCTTCTTTTTTGCCCTTTTTTTTCTCTCCTCTTTTATGTTATCGCTTCTCTTCTGCGCCCTTTTTTCCACCGCGTTGTGCCGGGTGGGGGCTTGGGGGGACGCACCACAGCGAAGTACAGGACAAGCGAGGAGAAGGAAGGAAACACATAAAAAGGGAAGGGGTGTGGGTTTTGTTTGTTTGTTTTTCTGTAGACATGTTTCTGGTTTCTGCAGTCCGTGGGGAAAGGCTCTGAACGACGGTCTTCGGGTCATTTTCGCCGAGAAGCGAACTTTTATTTTGCCGTGACGCTGCTCGTATAGAACGACCCAAGATACCGTTGCTTGCTTCCGTCGTGCCCTAGGAGGAGGTGGCGAGGGAAAGAGGGAGGGAGGAGGAAAGAAAAAAAAGAAAAAAGAAAAAGAAACTGCCGTAACAAAGTTCCTGGGCCCATTGAAGTTTCATGCTGAAACTCCCCTCCTGCACACATATACATGCACATATGCATAATGGACACATGGCCCAGTACACAATGAACGTGTGAATAAAGGAGGAATTCTGCCTCTCCCTCGTTGTGTGGTTTATATGTTTTTCTTCTTCTTCATCAATTCTCTGTGCATCCATTGCCGTGTTGCTTCTATTCCATTAAAGGAGAGTTTTCGTCTCGCCCGTTTCACCGGATTCATGGCCACCGTGCATGTTTGCAGACACGGCCAGGACGAAGACAATTTAGAAGGTCTTTTGAATGGACGACGCGACCGCCCGCTGACGCAGCTCGGGCGGGAACAGGCGACTGCGTTGGCGCAGAGAATAAAGGAGGGGGGAAAGTCGTATAACGCCATCTTGGCATCACCACTGCAACGGGCGAATGAGACCGCCCGCATCATTGGTGGGGTTCTTTCGGTTAAGGTGGAAACGGACAATGAACTAGTGGAGCGGGACTTTGGTGTGCTGACGGGAAAACCCATTGATCAGATCAGAGCGTACGCAGGGGAGAGTGTCTTGCAAGGGGATAAGGTCTTGTATTTTCTCTCCGTCGAGGGAGCGGAAACGTTTGAAGAATGCTATAGCCGTGCCGCTAGTGTGCTACGGCGCGTGGATGCCGCATTTACTGGGAAGCGCGTGCTGCTTGTGTGTCATGGGGACATTGGCAAGATGCTGCAGGCGGTAAGGAGAAACATAACATGGCGTGAGGGGCTTATGTTGCCTTATTTTGCCAATACTGATGTTCTGGAGACGTAAAAGAAGATGCATGTGAACGCCTCAGTCTGCTGTCTGTAAGATGTGTCGAAGTGTCACCTGCATACATACGTAACGGGCGTGTTGCCTTGATTTTCTTCCTCTTTTTTAATCTATTTTCTTTTTTCTTCTTTTTTTGCATCTTCCCATATCCATCGATCTCTCTCGCTCTCTCCCTCCCGCACACGCACACTGTTTGTGTGTCTGCATTTATTGAATGTCTTGTGTGCTAATTATTGTTATTGTGATTATTATTATTTTTTCCGTCTGTGGAAGCTGCCCCCCCTGTAAATTTTGCTCTTTCCTCCTCCTCTTGCACCTACAACTCTCTACTTATTGCCATCTGTTCCGTTATTATTATTATTATTATTATTTTCAAGTTTGTCGAGGCGAAAGTTGGTTTCTCCGCGTGGCGTGCGTCGGCGACTGTGATTTTTGTCTCTCTTCTCTGCAGCCCTCGTCCGTTGCTTTGTGCGGGAGGTGGCGGGTGGGTGGCGTGCCACTGATGCCGCCCAAGCGATGGGAGCGGCCTTCCATGATGAGTCGCGCGGAGACGCGCAAGGAGGAGCTGGTGCGCTACATCAAGAGGGAGATTGAGGACAACAACTTCCTCGGCCTCGTCGGTGCGGAGTTGGACAACATGGCGAACACGCTGGCAACATGTGGCTCTCGGCGGGAGTTGTTTGACTGGTGCCAGACGTTGATGGTCGGGGAGGCGGTGGCGGCGGAGGTGACGAGGCGGCGCGTCGACCGCGGCCCTCCCTTCAATGACGACCCTGCAGCGGTCGCAACGGCTGAGCCGGGCGCGGGGAGCGCTGCCGGAAAGAGCGGCAGCGGCCGACAGTTGACGGTGGCGGCAAAAAAGGGCGGGAAGAGGCGAGGCGCAGCGTTGCCGAAGGGGACCGGCAAAAGTGGGGCGGCGGCGGCGTTGCAGCCGGGCTTCTTTGAATGTGGCTGCTTTGCCACAAAGCATGAGCTCCGTGGGAACTGTGCCAACTGTGGCCGCATCATCTGTGAGCAGGAGTCGGACGAGACGTGCTACACCTGTGGGCTGGACCCCGCCACGTGTGTGGCGTATGAAATCAAAGTTCAGGAGGGCCTGATAGGCGCCGCCGCGCTGGAAAAAAATAAGGACAGCTACGAGGCAGCCGTGATGAAGCGGGACGAACTCTTGCGCTACGCAGAGACGCGTGCCAAACGCACAACGGTGATTGACGACCAGGCGGCTGTGCTTCTGTTCCCGAAGCATGCGTGGATGTCGCCCAAGGAGCGGCAAAAAGTAGACGAGGATGAGGCGCTTGCTGAACGGCGTCGCAAAGTAGCCGCAATGCACCGCGCCACTGGGGCGTATAAAATGCATTCGGATATCGTGAGCCAGAACGTCAATCTAGGCCTCCGAGAAGGAGCAGCAGTGGCGCAGAGTAGTGGCGCCTCCTCTGCGGCGTCCACGCGTGACGCTGACGGCGACGAGGAAGAGGAAGAGGAAGTCGCCGCGGAGGAGGCACGGGCGTTGCCGCTTCCTTCCCTTATGCAAAAGATATGGTACAGTTTGGATGGCGGCGTCGACACCACCTCCGCGGCGCGTGGCACCGCCGCCACAAACGTCGAGGGGACTCTGGAGAAAAAACCCGCAGTACGCCACGTGGTGGAACTGTCGCGTCGCGTGCAACAGGACTACTACGAAGAGGACGCCCGCCTATTCCGGGAGGCAGAGCGGGAACGAGGAGAGGAGCTCGCTGACGCTGAATTGTGTGGTCCTGGGGCGGCGTGTGCCGGTGATAACGGGGAAGAGGCGGCCACGGAGGAGGCAAACGCGGCAGCGGGAGAGGAGACAGCGGTGGGGCCAACGACGGCGGACATTGCCGTTGGCCGCCTCACACCGTCACCCGCGATGCGCTTGAACGACGACGGTGTCTGTCTCTCCATGCACCAGCCATGGGCGGGGCTACTTGTCGCTGGCATCAAGCGCCACGAGGGGCGGGTGTGGCCAACCGATTATAGAGGCCGTCTTTGGATCCACGCGGCCTCCGCACGGCCAGACGACGTTGGAGAAGTGGAGAAGCACTACTCAAAGTTCATGACACCCGCACAACACTTCCCAAAACACTACCCAACACGCGTGTTGCTTGGCTACGTCTACCTAGTGGAGTGCGTCGACAGTGAAACGTACAACCAGATGTTTGCCGAGGAGCAGCGGCAGGAGGAGTCCCCCTTCACGTTCATCTGCGCAGAAGCCAAGGCATTGCCGTTTCCGTTGCCCATGAACGGCGATCATAAGTTGTTTCGCATGGATCACAAGGTGCACACAGCCGCGCGAAAGCAACTTCTAGAGATTATGTGAAGAGGAGCCGTTTAAGACACCACCCCTCATCCTCCGCTTTTTTTTTTTTTCTCGCCATCACTTCCGCTTTGAATCAGTCTACCACGCACTTGTCTGGTGCCTTGCGCTCGCCGCTTTTGCGCCTACCTAAATTTCGACTGTCCTGTGGTGTGCCTGTTTTTTTGTTTTTGCCTTCCCTCTACTTGTTGCTCTTTTTCCTCTTCTCTTTTTTGTTGTGTTTTCCTTCTTGTCTTGTTTCGCGTGTGCATCCTGGCGATGCGTTCCGCGATGTTTCTGCTTGTGCGTGTGTGCGTGTCCACTTCCACCGGCGCGAATACGCACAACACGTGCAGAGTGAGAAAAAGTGCGAGGACTGAGGTGGATGTGGGGGGCGCGCGAGGGGGGAGGGGGAGTTATGCGCAAGCGTGAGAGGGAGAGCAGTGGGGGCAGCACGAGCTCCTCTGATTCGCTTTTCTCTTCTTCCGGCGGTTATAGGAAGGGCACAGGCGGCAAAGAGAAACACGTAAGCCTAAAAAAGAAGGGTAGCGGCAGTAACAACAACGGCGGCAACGACGCCACACCGAAGCCGGCCGCCGCGACATGGGAGCAACTTCTCGCGGAGCGCAAAGCTCTGCTGGAGACTCGGGAGAAGGAGTTGTCCTTGTTGGAGCAGCAGCGTGCCGGCACGGATAGTAGCAGCGACGACGACGACAGCGAATACGACAGCGGCGAGGGTGCCCGGGATAATGACAGGGGCAACGCGCAAGCGTTAAAGGACCAGCATAAGTATCACACTGAGAGGACGCTTCGTGTGGATGAAAATGTTGTTTTCACAGATGAGGACGACAGTAATGACCGGTTTGGAGGAACCGCGTCCACGTCAAGCGAGAGTGAAGTGGGCGCCAGCGACAATGATGGGGATATTGCTGAATTCCGCGAGCGGCTGCTTGCTCACGTCCAGGTCACCAGTGCGGCAAGGCGTGTTGACAGTGCCGGCTCAACCGCCAGTGATGCGGCACCCGCGCACGCCTTGCAGCACCTGAAGGAGGAGTTGATGAAGCCTGTTATGCCGACCGCGCTCACAGTTGTGAGTGCAACCGACGAGTCACATGACCTTATAACTGAGCTCGTCTCAGCCAAACTGCCTCCTCCTCCGCCAGAGGATGCGAAGCGTCTGCGCAAGTTACAGTACGTGGACCACAGCATGGTGCAATATCCGCATCTTCGCAAGGAGTTTTACGTTGCCCCTCCAGATGTCAAGAACCTCGGCGCGGAAGAGCTAAAAAGGCTTCTTAAGGAGTTGGATGGGGCAAAGGTGCGTGGACGCGACCCACCGCGCCCAATGCGTACGTGGAACGGCTCCGGCCTACCAGATTCCGTCCTGGAGGTGCTTGCGCGGGAAGGGTTCGAGCAGCCGTTTGCCGTGCAGTCTCTCGGTTCTGCCGCCTTGATGGGCGGTCGTGACTTGCTCATCACGGCCAAAACAGGCTCTGGAAAGACACTCGCCTACCTCCTGCCGCTGATTCGTCACTGTGTCGGGCAAGAGCCGTGTGGAAAGGGTGAGGGGCCGATTGGTCTTATTCTTGTACCCACACGTGAATTGGCTGTGCAGATTGTTCAACTGGCAGAAAAGCTATGCGTGGCGGCCAAGTTGAGACTCGTGTCTGCATACGGTTTAACATCTCTTGCAGAGAACATCAAACAATGCCGAGTTGGGTGTGAAGTCATGGTGTGCACCCCAGGTCGACTTTTGGATCTTCTTACGGTTAATGGGGGAGGTGCAATTTCGTTGAGGCGCGTGTCGTTCGTCGTGATCGATGAGGCGGACCGCATGTTTGATAGTGGCTTCATGGAACACGTGGAGGCCTTTTTAAAAAATATTCGTCCCGACCGACAGCTCGCGCTCATTAGCGCAACCATGCCTAAGGAACTGAGGAAAATCGTCATAAGTCACCTGCAAGATCCAGTGGAGATTACAGTGGGGGGTAAACCCTCTCCCGCCTCAAATGTTGAGCAACGCTTCTTTTTCTTTGATGAGGAGGTGTATGAGGTGGAGGAGGCAAATCGCACAGAGGATAGAAAGTTTTTGAAACTGTTACAAATTCTCGGCGATGAGGGCGGCACTGGGGAACACCTCATTGTCATCTTTGCTCAACGGAAGGAAGAATGTGATGAGCTCTTTGCACGTCTCTCTGCATCTGGCTACCAACGGCGTATTGCTATTCTTTATAGTGGGATGGACCCACTGGACCGTGAGTTTGCGCTGGAGCACTTTGCCCCCAACAATCAGTTTATTCTTATTGCAACGGGGGTGGCGGAACGGGGCCTTGACATTCCCTACCTGGAGCTTGTGATTAACTACACCCTCCCAGACCACTACGAGGCGTACGTGCATCGCATCGGCCGCACCGGTCGTGCTGGGAAGAAGGGCAAGGCGGTAAGCTTTTTCATGCGGGGGAAGGATGACGACCTCTCCGTGGACCTCTGCGAGGGCCTTGAGCGTGCACAACAGCAGGTGCCCGAGGAGTTATATGAGCGCGCGGCAAAGTTACGAGAGAAGCGCAAGGAGGGCATTGTGCGGCACAACACAGGTTTTTACCGGGGCTACATGAAGGCAAAGAAGTTGCGCTTTACAGATCGTGGTCAACAGGAGCAATTCAAGGCGGCGGCGCGGGCAGCGGGACTTGAGGAGTACTTGTCTGCCAGCTCCTGCACGGACTCGGATTTATCTGACAGCGATAAAGATGAGGACATAGAAATTGTTGCGGTACATGGAGATGGTACGCGAAATGGCGGCGGTGGCAGCGAGGAGGCATCCAAAGCCCTCACGCTGCACAGGAACACTGGTGCGTTGACTCTTTCCTCGCAGCAGCAAAAAGAACAGCAAGAACGCCTTGCCTCCGCACTCGCGTACGCGCAGAAGACAACAGACTCTGTGATCGACCCCTCCACTACAGGTGCTCGTTTCGAGGCTGAGTACCCTATCAACGACCTTCCCGAGCGTGTTCGGCTGCGGATGCAGAGCGCGGCTTTACTGCGTTCCGTGCAGGAGGACACCGGAACGACGATTGTCCGCAAAGGTGTGTTTTTCGATCGAAAGTACAAACATTCCCACCGCCTGCGCGAAGGTGTGCGGCCGCTTTACCTGCTGCTTATTGGAAAGACGGTGGAGTCTGTGCGTGACGCGGTGAAGAGGTTGAACGACATCCAGGCTGAGGCGCAGAGCCGCATCCAGCAGAAGGCGTCCTCCCTCGGGGCTCAGTTGTAGAGACACGGACAGCCAGAGTGGGAAGGGAGGAATGAACCTCATTTCCGCCCCTACCCTAAAAAAAAGAAAAAAAGAAAAAAAAGAAAACAACGTAGCTAAGAAAGAGTAGAGCGAGCACATCAGAGCTGCCAAAGAAGCAAGGCGTAGGTGAGTAGGCGGGCAATTTCTTTACTGGATTTAAATGCTGCTCATTTGATGTTCTTGCTGTTGCCTACCCCCTTTTGGGTGGAAAATAAAAAAAGTGTGTGTGTTTTTTATTGCGTTCTTTGGATCGCCTTGCTTTTTTTTTTTTCTTTATTTCTCTCCCTGCAAGCCGATGAGGGTATTGTGTGGGTTGGTTCCACCCAACCTTTTTTTCTTGTTGTTGTTGTTCTTTTTTTCTCATTCTCTGAATGGTGTCTACTGCTGTTTCACCTGCACTTACTTCTCGCGCCGCTTTCTGTGTGGTTTTTCCGTCTCTGTCTGACTCTCCCGCTCTGTGTGCTTGTGTGTGTGTGTGTGTATGGGCGGGGGGCGGTCTGCTTATCTGTGCTGGGCCCTTCCACATGACGCTTTTTTCCCCCATCTTTCTCTGCCCGTCGGCGCGCCTTTCACCTTCGTTTTGGCAACCTCTTCTCCCTCGATTTCGCGTTGCCGCACGCACGCAACTCCGTTCCTTTTAGGTCGGTTAGTCCATTGCATTATCATTATTATATATATAT